GGGGTCCTGGGATCAAGCCCCATATCCGGATCCCTGCTCAGCGGGAAGCCTGCTTCTCCCTCTACCATTCCCCCTGCTTGTGTTCCCTCTTTTGCTGTCTCTCTTTCTCTCTCCCTCTCAAATACATACATACATAAAATCTTAAATAAATAAGTAAAGCCAGTGGGCTTATTTGGTTTTAGTTGGCATTGGGAGGCTGAGTCCCTCAGGGCCAAAGATCTCTCCTTTAACAGTCAGAGAACGTGTCTCTGATCCCAGCTTTAAATAGGTCTTGTCCCTGCCTTTGCCAGGTGGTTGTATGAAGTGAGGGGAGCTGTGTGCCAGTGCTGTACAAACGCTCTTGCCCCTCTGTGGCGCTCTGTATTGGGTAAGGATCACAAAGACAACCCTGTGAATGCCCCGGGATCAACTTCCTGCCACGGACGGCAGAATGATTCAAAGCACTGCAGACATCTGAAAGAGCTTCTTGGTGTTAAAAGAAAAGAAAAGAAAAGGGCATTATAGCAGATACTGTGTAGGTAGTTTATCCAATGTGCACACTGGACTTTCCGGTCACCACATCCCCGATCCTTGACCCAGAACGGTCCTTGAGTGTGAAAAAGACCAGACTGTTCCATCCAGATCACCTTCAATTTCAAGTTCCAGACTGTAGCGTGAGTGTGAAGTCATTAAAATGCTCATAACCGGAGCTGTTGGTGGTGAGAAATGCAGGGCCCCACAGGAAGACGGGGGTCAGTATGCACCCTTGATGCTGGGAGGCCATAACTTTTTTGAAATGCTTGCTTCTGCCCCAAAGAGCACTTCAAGAAAAGCTTTAATGAGACGTGTGGGAGAGTAGGGCTCCCCCTGCCTGCCGCAGAGTGGCCTCTCCTGGCTTGAAGGCCTGTGAGGGGAAGCAGGGTTGTGCAAGAATGGCTTCTCGCTCTACCGGCACCGACCGCCAGTGACGTGGAGCTTCTGAGTTTCCTCCTCCTCCAACATCAAGATAAAGTGAAAGTAAACAGGCGCTTGGAAAATTACTAGTGTTTTTCCTCATCAGAGTACACGAAAAAGGGTGGCAGAGAATTTGTTACATGCCATTTGTTTTTAGCATGGGTGTCCTCACAGCTTTCCAGAGTAGGAGCTTCTAGAAAGTGCTTTGTGTATTACTCAATCTTTAGAGCACAAACTTTTACATTTGGCTTTTCTGCTTCTGGTTGCTCTAAAAGGCAGAGGCGTCTGAAATTTCATTTACATTTCTATGTCATTTACATTTCTATGAGAGAGATAATATATTCTTTCACTGATATTAGACATTTATCCCAGTCTATTCATCTGAGGCAGTAACCGGTGCTTTTCCAGAGGGGAACCAGGCCACTTCCTCTGGCGCTCTTCCTGCCTTCTCGATACCCTTATCAATATTTTCCTGTTCAGGGAATTTTATTTAGGACAGTGATAATCTGCCCTTAGAGAGGAGATTCCTGACTTTGCACCAGAGTCTAAATTAAAACGTCTCCATTTCTGATATCTTGAAAATGAAACACAGGCTGCAGCAGGAGGGACCTGACAATGCTTAGTACAGACCTGCAGGCTTCCATCTTTGTCTCCATTTCTTTCCTCTCTGATTCTCAAGGTTGGCTGGCTCACTCATTCACGCTGGATTTGATTGTTGGGTGGATAATGACGTTTTTACATGGAAGGTGTCAAAGGCTGGAACCTATGAAGAAAAGTGTTTGATAAATTAGAACATGAGCTTGATGAGGGAAGGGATTTGCTTTTCTTTACTGTTGTACCTCAGGTGCAAAGAACAGAGCCTGGCTCATAATGAATGTTCAATAAATATTTGTTGTGCATTAGCTGGGTAAGTATTTTGCTTATCTAGAACTAAGCTATTCTCAAATACTTACAAAACCATTTACCAATGACTGCCAGTTATACATACTTTGAGGCTAGCATATCATTTCTTCATTAAAAGCTGTTGCTGTTGGCACATTCATTTAATTTTTTTTTTTTTTGAGAAAAGAACACAGGAGATGAAAATTCAATGTGTAGTGTGTTTAACCAAAAGGTGATTTACTAAATATTTATTAAGCAAGTAAAAGATTGAAACAAAGTATATATTGTTATGAGGGAGACCATGCTGAGATGAATCAAATGTACCTCGCCCTCAAGATACTTTCGATGGGGGCGCCTGGGTGGCTCAGTGGGTTAAAGCCTCTGCCTTTGGCTCAGGTCATGGTCCCGGGGTCCTGGGATGGAGCCCCACATCCGGCTCTCTCAGGGAGAGAGGGAGCAGGGAGCCTGCTTCCTCCTTTCTCTCTGCCTGCTTCTCTGCCTACTTGTGATCTCTGTCTGTCAAATAAATAAATAAAATCTTAAAAAAAAAAAGATACTTTCGATGAATGTAATAGGGAGATTAGCCACAAACACATTCATACATATTATAAAGAAAAGGCCATGGAGAAGAAAGCAGTCCAGGGAATCTGCCAGAGCTCCAGGAAGGCCGGCAGGGAAGGAAAGGACTGTGTCAAATGCATATCTGTATCCTTATTGCCTAGCAAAGAGTAGATATTCTTGTCCAATGAATGAATGAATGATCTTTTCCTGAGATTAAAAGAAAAAAAAAACCTGAAGATAAATAATATGATGTTTCAGTGGATCAGAGGAAGAGCCCACATCTAGATCAGGGAGATTGGAGGAAGTCAAGGGTCATGAAGGAGGTGGGGATGAAGAGTGAATTTCCAGGTCCAAGGAATGGATTTGGTAAAGGTTGGAGGGGAGGGACAATGTATAGCGCGTCGGGGAAGAGTTTAGTAGCCAGATGTACCTTCGACAAAGTGTGGGGCATGAGGGTGGAGTAGGTGGAGGGAGGAGGGCAGGTTGCTGGGTAGGCAATGGGAAGCCAGGGGATTCAGCTTGGGGGAGCATCCTGATCAGGGCAATGAGGTGTGTTGAGACCAATAACCCAGCACAAGTGGGAAATTGGACAGAAGATCAGACTCCAGGCAGTGAGACCATTAACTGTTCTATTCCAGGTGGAAACAAAAGCCACAGAGATCTTATTTAGAAGATGGGAGAGTGATTAAAAAAAAAAAAAAATTCTAGAGACTTGAAAAACTGGAATGGAAAATACGAGTGGTTAATTCTATACGGTGTTGGGGGTGGGGTGGAGGCGGACGGAGGAGGAGGAATGAAAAATGAGTCCAGGCCCACGCCGAAGTGACTGGGGAAACGGAGCTCCTAGCAAGAGTGAGAAAAGTGGCGGGAACAGTGGGTTTTATTAGGGGTGGAGGTGGAGGTGAGGGAGAGAGGTTGGATTTAAAGTCCCAAGTGTGGAGAAGATAACCAGATGGGGATGTCCAGTGGGCAGCTGAAAACCTGGTGGTGATTACGCAGTAGCTTGAGCAACAGGTGTTTTGTTTATTTAAATGATGCTTTAATTTAAACAGTCATACTGCCACATGTGGTAAGGTGAAAATTAATTCTCCTCCCTACCCCTGGTTGCCTATTTTTCTCTCTCCAGGCCACCACTCTTTCCAGTTTCTTGAATATCATGGTAGAGATACTCTATGTATTTGTGGTTTTATGTCCTCAGAAGAATTTCATACTTTTGTTTTTAAAGGTTAGAGAAGACTTGAGTGTCTTCGAGACAGATGGAAAAGAACGAGAAGAGACGTGGAGATTGAAGAAGCAAATTACAGAGGGATTACTAAATGAAGAGCTTAGAGCGGTAGGAGAGGGTACTGTCTGTGGTTTAGGCATATGCTTCAGGGAGAAGAGCGGGCCCTCTGCAGAGATAGGAAGGGCAGGCTGATGGCAATAGAGATTTTCCTCATGCTATCTTCCTTAGATGGCCCGAGTCTCCTTGGCCTGGTGGTGGCACAGGAAGGGGCCCGGGGAGGTAGCCTGGTGGCTTGAGGAGGACGGCAGAGATGTCACATAGCCACTCAAGATACTAGAGAATACCATAGGACTGTCAGATCCAAAAACCAATCCAAAAATGTTTATTGTGATGATTTACAAAAGAAATATCACCATAGCAATGTAAAGCTATTTACAGATTTAAAAATAAATTTACAGAAATTTATCCACATCATATTACATGAATCAGTTTTACTTGAAATGTTACAGGTAGTGTTGAACAAACATAGCAAAACATAAATCAAGTTCTAAATCACATAAATGCCCTCCAAGCATGCTCAAGAGCCCCTGGAAGGTGGTTAGGAGGGAAAACTGGAAAATAGGACTTTAGCAACCGGAAGTAAGGATGATTCCACTACTGGTTGTAGGTGATGGGGCCAAATAAAAGTCACTTCAATTTTCAACTGAAACCAGAAGCTTACATGTAGACAAATGGAAAAAAAAATGTGAGTTTTAAGAAAATTTTTTTACTTACTCTCCCAGAGAACACAGAGAGTTGGAAATTTATGTTCTAATCCACGTGAAAGTAGTTTTAATCAAGGATGATTTTATTCGTGGCTAATTGGGCATCACACCATTCTCTTGAAGGTTTACATGCCAATCAATGTTCCAGTGTGGGGGGTGGGCGGGGAAGGGAAAGTGTGAGGATTTGTATGGAGACTGTGGAGGTGCCTCTTGCTGCCCTGGGGCCTGCTCGCATCTTTCTCGACACATTAACAACGCCCAGGGGAAGAACACCATCTGAAGACCTGGCGCTGACCCTGGCCTTGGATGCCGCCTCTGATAAATGCTGGGCAGCGTCCCTTCCGTCAGGGAGGGAATGCTTGGCTGCTGCCCAGGCATGCTTCCCCTCGTGTGGTTGCCAGGCCAGATTGTACCGTGGCTGGAGGCTCTGTGGAGATGCTACCGTTTGAGACCTAAGTGTCAGGGGCTGTGGTCAACAAATAATTCATATGAGGAAAGTAGTAAAAAACAAGGGTTTACCAAGACCTGAGAATTATTATGTAGTTGAATTAAGCAAAGGTATAGAGGGGGTCCATTCGACTCATTCCTTCAAGGATGCCCCTTAAAAATCAATAGAACTCCCCTACTTTATGTTGCCTGATTTACAGCCAGATATATGACCCTCAAGTGCAAGTTACAGGATACATGTTATTAATGATTAAAAATAGCGAATTTTACTAATCTGGCAACTTGTGACATTTCATGATTACAAGCCTTAAAAATTTCATCCAGTTTTTTCTTATATAGACTGCATACACATTTAAAATATCAAAGGCACTTTTAGGTTACATGATAAACAAAAATACTTCAATAGAGACAGGATTATTTATTGGTTCCTTCAGTTTTTGTGCCCATGTCGATCGTCGAGAGCCCAATTTTGCACTTCACCTTTGGCAAATAGCGAGAAGAAAATGGCACCAAACACATTGATAGCAGCAGCGATGTAGAAAACTGTTTGCCATTCTCTAATAGTGTTCTACAGGGAGAAAGAGAAACATGCACATGAAAAAAATTTTGTTTATAGTCAGCTTTATAGAAAAGGTGGGATCACAAGACTGTTACAACAAGCCTCATGATGAAAACAACCCAAGCTCCTTCAACAGTGAAACTGTGATATATTTGCTCAGTGGAATACTATACAGCAACTAAAATGAATGAGCTACAACAATGTAGATGCATCTCACTAACGAAATGTTACACAGAAGCCAGACACAAAAGAGTACGTATTAAAGGACTGCATTTTTATCAAACTCGATTATATAAAAGCTCAAAATTACACAAAACCAATCCATAGTGTTAAAAGTAGGAATAGGGGCTCCTCTTGGTAGGGTGAAAGGGGAATGGCAGCCAGGAGCAGCCAGAGGCTTTGCGAGAGAGGTAACATCCTGTTTCTTGACGGGTGTTGGTTACACGAGTGTGCGAACTTTCATCCAGCTGTATACTTAGGATCTGTGTATTTCTACACCAACATTTACTCAAAGTTTATTCAGATTTACTCAAAATAAAACATGGCATGGCTTTCAATCATGTGGTACTAGGAAAGTAGTATGCTTGCCCACCATCTCCCTAGTTCTTAGGTGGGAGATATAAGGCAGATCAAGAAAGGATGAGTTAAGATGGGCTTTGAATTTCAAGTTTGAGGCCCAGCACAGAGAATTCCTGATTGAGCCACAAAACAGGACATGGATGGGATCTGCCAGTTAAGCGATCAACAAAACACAATTGTTTAGCATATAATACAGTGGTATAAAAACATCAGGCAGTTAGCTAATTTCTGGGTCATGTGACTAACTTAAACAACCATTTTTTGGATTTTGCAATGTCAGTCTAACCAGAATGCTACATCTGCAGAATGGAGAAAAGAAAAAGCAAGCAGGGGAATTGGCAATGAGGAAGAAAAAGGAAAGGCACTAGGAAGCTAGTATGAGGTCATTCTTTTAGGGAAAAAGATAAATCATGGAGAAAGACAGCACTCTGTTATGCTGATCAGAGATTCATGTATTTTGGTAAAAAAAAAAAAAACACCTTAGAAATCCATCTTAAATTTTAGTAACTATTTAGATATGCTAACAATGTTACTTATTTGTACTTGGCTCATTCTGCAAAGTTTCTGAGGCAGTGCAATAATTTTCAATTGTGAGCAATTACAATTGTAAAGGCAAGTATGTGTTTCTCCTTTTTTTAAAAAAAGATTTTATTTATTTTGAGAGAGAAAGAGAGTGCATGCGTACATACATGCAGAGGGAGGGGCAGAGGGAGTGAGAGAATCCCAAGCAGACCCCACACTGAGCACAGAGCCGGATGCAGGGCTCTATCCCACCACCCCAAGGATCATGACTTGAGCTGAAATCAAGAGTCTGATGCTTGGGGTGCCTGGTTGGCTCAGTCGTTAGGCATCTGCCTTCAGCTCAGGTTATGATCCCAGGATCCTGAGATCAAGACCTGCATTGAGCCCTGCATGGAGCCCGTCATCGGGCTCCCTGCTCATTGGGAAGCCTGCTTCTTCCTCTCCCACTCCCTCTGCTTGTGTTCCTTCTCTTGCTGTGTCTCTCTCTGTCAAAAAATAAATAAAAAAAATATTTAAAAAAAAGTCTGATGCTCAACCGACTCAGCCACTCAGGGACCCCTGTGTTCTCCTTTAAAAATATAATATCCATTTAATAACATTAAATAAATGCTATGATAGCCTATCCAAATCCAGTTCAGTTCCCACTTTACAAACATTCAAGACTTTAACTGAGGAATCCAGGTATTCTTAGCAGAAATACTACGATTATCCATAATAAATGAAATTAATACATGGCAGTACGTTGACTTAGGTTCCTGTGTTGCCACAGTGCTCCGCAGAGATAAGGTTAAACATTTCTGACATGTCCATATCAAGACACAGAATTCTAGGGGGGAAAAAAAAATCACAACTTTCCCAACACCCATTTCTATTAAGTGAGAGAACACAGTAACAAGGAGGCTTGGATTCATTCAAGTAAGGAATCAGAAATGGTGGGAGCAGGGGTGCTTGGGTGGCTCAGTCTGCTAAGCGACTGACTTTTGATTTTGGCTCATGTCATGATCTCAGGGTCCTAGGATAAACCCTCACGTCAGGCTCCCCGCTTAACAGGGAGTCTGCTTGTCTCCTTCTGCCCCTCACCCTCCCCCTGCATGAAGGAACGAACTCTCTTAAATGAATAAATCTTGAAAAGAATGAATGAATGAATGAATGAATGAATGGTGGGAGCAGAAAAGAAATAGGAACACTCAGTGTGGTGAACACATACACATCTGAGATCAGTATATTTAGTAATAAGAAAGTTTGTAAGCATATTCTGAAATTCTAAGGATTAGGTGGTGTTAATCTGATCACAGAGACAAAGAAAAAATTAAGACTCTTTTAGAACTTTAAGTCAACCACTTGAAAAATATATTTCAACAGGCTTTAGATTTTTTTTTTTTTTAATAGACAGATCACAAGTAGGCAGAGAGGCAGGCAGAGAGAGACAGGAGGAGGAGGAGGCAGGCTCCCTGCTGAGCAGAGAGCCGAATGCGGGACTCGATCCCAGGACCCTGAGATCATGACCTGAGCTGAAGGCAGAGGCTTTAACCACTGAGCCACCCAGGCGCCCCGGCTTTAGATTTTTTTAAACAGAAATTTTGAGTCAGAGGTCATTTATTTTTCTTTCTTATACACTGTGAGCCACTGGTACAGTGCTGAGTCTCTGCTGACTGATGTGGCACCACACTGCCTCCCCGCTGGAGGTGGGACCACCCCAGGGCCCACTGCATTTCGGAGGCTCTGTGCCCTTCCCACACCTGGCTCACTCCTCCAGGGCTCCTTCCCCACAAATTGCGTGCTCTCTCCCGTGCCCACAGCACCCTGCACACTTTTTTTTCCCCTGCAGCATTCATCACTGTACTTTAGCTATTTGATTATGTGCCATCCCTAAATGAGGAGTTTCACAAGTGCAGAAGCTTGTCGTTTTGCCTTTGGATCCTCAGGACCTGGTATATTGATAGTCACTCATGAAATGCCTGTAGAATCCGTGTTTGACTCTTTCAGGGCTTGCTAACTCATAAGGCAGCCCTTTCCACAGAGTAGACAGCTTTTACAGAACTTTCCTATTGTGTCCTCATTACTTCTCTTCACCTGTCTTTGTGGAACTGCCAAGAATAAGTCACCATCTCTCGTGTGGTCGTCCTTCAAGATGTGAAGACACATGCCATGTCTTTGCAAGTCTTCTGCTCCTCTCAGTGGTGATTGCTTCCCTAGTTCCTTACTCATTCCCACGTGACTTCCTGATACCTCACCTTTGTGGATCCACTTCTTGAATAACTTTCCATTGCCAGTTTTTCTTTGTTCGAACCAAAGACACAAGTTACTTACCTTGTAAAATATCACCACTTTTAAGTACTTGTGTGGTGTGAGCTACAACAGCTTCGTTGAACTTAATTCTGTTGTTTTGTCTAAAAACCAAGGGGTGGTCTTGGAAAATATATTTTCCTGTCGAGTATGGTACTTCGCTTTTTGCTGATGTAAAGAATTGCATAAGAATAAACATTCAGAATTTTACTCTTAATTAAAATATACTCAATTTGACACAGATGTGCAGGCTCAAATGAATTGTATAGACGTTTGCATAAATAAGCAAATTATCTACTTACATCAGGGGTCAGACTTTTAGCAATGACAGGCCCAACCATTCCTGGAATAGTGGCAAATGTATTTGTGATGCCCAGCAGGATACCAGCATACCTGCAGAAAACATTTTCATAGAGATTTATTACTGTGTTACACTTTGAAGTAGCTTCTTTCAACAGATAGCTGTACTACTTTCAGAACACTCTATATTTTTGTGAAATTTCATGTTTAAATGAAATGTCTTACTAAGCTGGACTGAATATATTTAGCTGGTGAAAAACTTGCATTTCAATAGTTAATAAGCATTCTAATATTACATAGGGGAACGCCACCACTGAAATGAAAATCCTTTTTTTTTTTAAGATTTTATTTATTTATTTGACAGAGATCACAAGTAGGCAGAGAGGCAGGCAGAGAGATAGAGGGAAGCAGGCTCCCTGCTGAGCAGAGAGCCCGATGTGGGGCTCGATCCCAGGACCCTGAGATCATGACCTGAGCCGAAGGCAGAGGCTTAACCCACTGAGCCACCCAGGTGCACCATGACATTGATTTAGAAAAGTGTTGAGATTGATTTTCGTACAGGGTACAGGACGGTATTAGACAGGAAGTTTGATGTGTCTTAAGATTCTTTAGTTTAAAAAAAAAAAGGAAGAATTTATTTCCTGATTACAAAATCTATTTCATTGTTGAAAAAAAAAATTTAAGAAAATAAAATTACCTTTGAGAGAATTGATATTGATACTTTGGTAGATATTCTAATTATTTTTGTTTATATGTATATATTTCTAATATATTATTATGAAATGAAATAATATTGAACATAACAATTTCCGATTTACTTGTTCCAATTATCATGTATATGCGTATAGATAAGTCGTTGCATACTTCCCAGAAGTAGACAAGTTTGGTATGCATTGTATGGGTGTATATATAACAAAAAATGCATTTTTAATAACTCAGGGAAAGTTGATTTATTTTAAGAGTAAAGCTTAGAGGAGTTGAATATTCTTAGTTATGTTTAGATGCAAATCTTTAAAGAAAGAATTCCTGCTTGTATTTGGAAAGTGCTAATGGTCTGATTTCTCCAACATATAAGGAATGTATATAAACTAAGGAAGGCTGAATGAAACGCTTACTTTCCATAAAGAAGTCATACTGAACTGCTAGTCAGGAGACCTAAAGATCTGTGACTTCTGGTTCTCCCATTGACCATCTATGTGACCTTGGCCAGTCAGTGATAGATTATTTCCCTTATCACTCATGGGTTCATAGATGTCCACATGTAATCTATCTGCTGCGCCCATGTGAGTCCCCCCAGGACCCACCAAGTACACTAAAACATTATTTTTGAGTATAACATACATATGGAAATGAACACAAACCCTAAGTGCACAGCGTGATGAATTTCTATAAAGTGAACAGAACCATGTCACTAGCACCCGGTCAAAAAACAGAATCTACTGGAATAAACATTTTTAAGGATATTCTACACATGGCTGAACTGCCTCTCAGACTGTTTAAGCTTTAATTTGAATAATCATAATTCTGTGAGGTCATTCCTACTCTAAAACTTACAAGGATGGCTTAATGCTTGCCCTTAAGGAGATTATAACCGTTCGCCTGACTTGCAATGGCCTCGCCCTCCCTGGCCCATCTACCTGGTCTTACTACCCCGTGCTGCGGACTGCGTCACTTCGGATTCTGACAGCTTCCATCCAGCTGCTCCCATCTGCTATGCTCATTCCTGTTATCCTCCCTCATACTCCACTCGCTGTCTGAAATCCATATTCCTTCTGTCCAGACCACTTGCTCAGCACCTCTTCCGCGAAGCTTCCTTTGTCTGGTTCAGCTCACACTGAGCCCTGTCTTCCCAGAACTTTATTAAGTCCTGAAAGCCAGTGCTATGGGTTCTAGGAGGTAATTGTTCTCAAGGTCAAGTTTGCTAATTCTGATTCCATAGTCTCACTGCAGAGTCATGCTTTATTTCCCTTTATTATTTGCAGGGCCAGCACATATATGCTCGTTCAGTACATGCTGACCAGAGAAGTGGCACGCGACCCGCAGTTGTTCCAGGCCCTGACCATGGAACCCCAGGGCACTGGCTGTGCTGGCTGCTGGTGCTTTGTCTCACAGACGCAAATACCTCTCTTGGGTACCGGCTCCAAAACGTGCTGATTCCTGATCCAAATGGAACCACACAGTATGCAACCTTTTGGATCACATGTGGGGTTTGCTAAACATCCCAGGGACGCCTGGGTGGCTCAGTGGGCTCGGCATCTGCCTTCAGGCTCAGGTCATGATCCCAGAATCCTGGGATCGAGTCCCGCATCGGGCTCCTTGCTCAGAGGGGAGCCTGCGTCTCCCTCTGCGTGCAGCTCTCCCTGTTCGTGCTTTCTCTCTGACAGATAAATAAATAAAATCTCTAAAAAAATAAACAAATAAACATCATCCCAAGTTGTTGTATCAATAGTTTATTCGTTTTTTATTGCTCTCTCTCTTTTTAACTGAAGAAGCTGGGATTTTGTCCTATAGACAGTCCTGCATTCTGTTTTGTGTAGATTGCATCCCTGAGATATCATATAACATAATCTTATGTTCCCTGTATTTCCTGTACACTGATAGTATCTAGACCACAGATCTCAGAGCATGGGTTAGAGTTAGCTTTGATATTTTTAGCAAGAAAATTTAAAGATGATGGTGGAGTTAAAATTGGTGAGCTAAGTAAATGGCATTTATAATTTATTTTTCATAAAAGTCATCTAGGTATATACAAAGTCCAATTAGAACTTTTTTTTTTTTGAGGGGCGCCTGGGTGGCTCAGTGGGTTAAAGCCTCTGCCTTCAGCTCAGGTCATGATCCCAGCATCCTGCGACTGAGCCCTGAGTCGGGCATTGAGCCCTGAGTCCTGAGTCGGGCTCTCTGCTCAGCGGGGAGCCTGCTTCCTCCTCTCTCTCTGCCTGCCTCGATGCCTACTTGTGATCTCTGTCTGTCAAATAAATAAAATCTTAAAAAAAAAAAAAAAAGAACTTTTGTTTTGAGAGTGAGAGAGAGAGCAAGCACAAGCAGGGGTTGGAGGAGTAGCAGAGGGAGAGGGACAAGCGGACCCCATGATGAACACACAGAGTCTGTCATGGGACTCCGTCTCAGGACCCTGAGATTATGACGTGAGCCAGAATCAAGAGTTGAAGGCAGAACCGACTGAGCCACCCAGCTTCCCCAAGAACTTTTAGTTTTCATGAAATAATCAGTGTTATCATAAAATACAATACAATTCTGGTCCAAATTAAAGAAGATCGGTATTTAGTAGTCCATCCGGTCTTATTGTGGGGTACTCTTATTTCTAGTAGTATTTAGGATCCAATGTCCTGGCTGCAGATGACTAATCTGCAATTTCTCTCACCATTTTCCTTGTGGACAAGTGCCTGATACGGACTGAACTGTGTCCTTTCAAAATTCCTATGTTGAAGTCCTAACCCCCACTGTGACTTCTTTGGAGCTACAACTTTCAGGAGGTAATGAAGGTTAAATAAGTGTAGGGTCTTAACCCAACAGGATTGGTGGCCTTGCAAGAGGTGGAAGAGAGAGAACCATTCTATCTCTGTGAGGACTGACCAAGGAAAGGCTATGTGAGGACACAGGGAGAAGTGGGCCATCTGTAAGCAAGGAAAAGAGCTCTCACCAGAACTTGACTATGCTGAGACCCTGATCTCCAACTTTGAGCTTCCAGAACTTTGAGAAAATAAACTTCTACTTTTTTAAGCTCTGTGGTCTGTGGCATTCTGAACGGCAGTTGACTAATACGTGCCTAAATAAAACATCCTGCTGAAACCAAGTCAATGATCTACAACCATCACACATTTTATGTTCAAAACTCGTTCATACTGGATACAGTAACAAAAGCGTACAGCACAGGTCTTTTTTTGGCTTATGCCCTTTAGGGAGCGTATCTTAAATTAAACAAGCTTGGCAGAACCTGTCTTTTTTTTTTTTTTTAGTTAAACCATTAACACCTTGGCAGTAGGAGGAACCAACTGCAACGTTGCCAGGCCTTTTCAGTGACAGATATTAAGTGCAGACGAACGCTGTGAAATCCTAAATGTCAGCACCAAGAAACTCATTCAAGTATTTCTATTACACTTGGCCAGGCAGGGCCATGAAAGATGGATGACTGCTGGGGAAAAAACATGTTGTACAGACCCAGTCTGTATTCTGTGCTGGTGCAGTACTAGCGTGCTGTGGGATTAATCGTTAAAAGTCTCTCCAATTCCTGTGTATCTGGGCAACAAAATTATCCACAGAAAATCTATTTTAATCTAGAGAGGAAAAGGCTTGGAAAATACCACAAACACATCTTTATGTTAATAGGATTACTGATTGTGTATTGAAAAACCTTATGTCAGGGGTGGCTCTAAGTATTTTATACATATCCCATTTTAATAGTAAAATCCACTCCATGAGGTAGGGATTCCTATCTCCATACTACAGATGAAGATAGACTGTAAAATGTTACCCAATTTGTCTGACTCCAAATCAGTACTTAGTAATATAAGGTTATAATCTGTATGCTGCCTGCTGAATGATGCTGCCATAGTCATCACTGAGTTCAATCTATAGGAATTACCAGTTTTCTTGAGCTTAATTTTTCACCATAAGCTCTAGTGCTGAATGCTTAACAGTCTGTGGCCCTCAAATATTCTTGTTCTAATTACCAGAGCCTTATCTAGTGCATGGGCACTCAGTTGTTACCAAAGAAAAAGCAACTAAGCAACAACATGGTCAAAAGATAGGTGATCCCCCAGTTAACCAAGACACGGAGAACTAGAAACAACCTAGCAACCTTTAAAGGAAGAAATTCTAGTTGGAAAATAAAAACTGCAAGCTCTTCTGAAGGGCTGAATCAAAATATAAGGGAGGGAAATAATTTTGACTTTGATGAGATGACCTTACATTTGTATGGTGACATATTTTTAGAAGTTACATGTGCTGTTCACATATATACATATGTTGATTACAAGCACATATCTGGAGGTAAGTACATGGTGCATACGTGTACTTACCAACTTCTACAACTACTTGTTGGCATCATTTATGTTACTAAACTGTTTGGTTTCATA